CCAGGTATTGATGGAATACCAATTAAAATGTTTCTCTATAAACAGATACAGCACTCAAGGTGCTCACTTATCTCTACCAAAAAATTTGGAAGACAGCTATCTGGGTAATTGACTGGAAGAGATCCATATTTATGCTCATTCCAAAGAAAAATGATCCAACAGAATGTGGAAATTATCAAACAATCTCATACACAAGAAAAATTTTGCTGAATATAATTCAAAACTGGTTGTAGTAGGTAATTGACCAGTAACTGCCAGAAGTTTAAGCCAGTTTCAGAAGAGAAATTGCTGCTATCAGATAAATCTTGGCTGAAAGTGAGAATACCAGAAAGATGTTTACCTGTGTTTTATTGACTGTGCAAAGGCATCCAATTATGTGGATCATAACAAATTACGGAATGGAAATTCCAGAATAACTAGTTGTGCTCATACATAACATATACATAGACCAAGAGGCAGTCATTCAAACAGAACAAGGAGATACTACATAACTTAAAATCAGGAAAGATGTGCATCAGAGTTGTAGCCTTTCTGCCTATTTATTCAATCTGTATGTTGAGCAAATACTTTGAGAACCTGGATTATATGAAGAAGAACACAGAGTCAGGATTGTAGAAAGACTCATTAACAATTTGTGATGTTCAGATGATACAACGTTGCTTGCTGAAAACCTTCAGTATGGATTACACTTCAATTTAAGAAAACAAAAGTCCCCTCAACTGGACTAATAAGCAGCACCATGATAAATGGAGAAAATAGTGACAATGTCAATTAATTCATTTGCTTGGATCCACGATCAATATTCATGGAACTAGCAGTCAAAAAATTAAAGAATGTATTTACATTGGACAAACCTGCAAAAGATCCCTTGAAAGTATTAAAAAACAAGCTACCACTTTGAAGACTAAAGTGCACCTGACCCAACTCATAGTATTTTCAATCTCGTCATATGTACAGCTTTTACATACAGAGAAAAAGTGATTCATTTGAAGATTATTGAATATACCATGGACTGCCAGAAGAACAAATAATTATTCTTGGAAAAATATAGCCAGAAGACTCCTTAGAAGTGAGGACGGTGAGACTTTGTCTCATACACTGGACATGTTATCAGGAGGGACCAGTCCCTAGAGAAGAACATCATGCTTGGTTGAGGGGCAGCAAAAACTAAGAAGAGCCTCAATGAGATGGATTGGGTTCAAACATAGTAATGATTTTTAGAATGGTGTTAGATCAGGCAATATGTCGTTCTGTTGGACATATGGTCACTATGAGTTAGAACTGACTTGATATCAATTAATGATAACAACCTCTATTTCAGTATGGGCTGCATCTCAATGTCAGGAAAACAAAAATACTCACCACTGGACCAATAAACAACATTCTTATCAATGGAGAAAAGATTGAAGTTGTCAAGGACTTCATTTTTATTGGATCAACTATCAACACTCGTGGAAGCAGCAGTCAAGAGATCAGACGACGTATTGCATTGGGCAAATCTGCTGCACAGGAACTTTTTTAAGTGTTGAAGAGCAGAGATGTCAGCTTGAGGACTAAGGTGCGCCTGACCCAAGCCATGGTATTTTCAATAACCTCATATGGATGCAAAAGCTGGACCGTGAATAAAGAAGATCATAGAAGAATTGATGCCTTTGAGTTGTGGTGTTGGAGGAGAATACTGAAAGTGCCATGGACTGCTAAAAGAACCAATAGATCTGTTTTGGAAGAAGTGCAGCCAGGGTGCTCCTTGAAGGCCAGGATGGCTAAGCTTCGTCTCTCATACTTTGGACATATTGTCCGGAGGGAACAGTCGCTGGAGAAGGATGTCATGCTGGGTAAGATGGCGGGTCAGAGAAAGAGAGGAAGACCCCCAATGAGATAGATCAGCTAGGTGGCATCATTGATGGCGTCAAGTGTAGCAGCGGTAGTGAGGTTGGCCCAGGATCAGACATTGTTTCGTTCTGCTGTGCATGGGGTCGCTATGAGTCGGTTCCAACTCGATGGCACCTGACAACAACAACAACAATTTCCTCTTCATGACATTTGGGCCTGTCTCATGAGAATGCCTTTTAAAAAATATTAAAGATAAATTTTAAAAAGTGACCTCTGATTCAATGCTGACTCATGGCGCCCTTGTGCCACAGGCTTTCATGGTTGTTGTTGTTTTTTTTTTTTTCAGAAGGTGATCGCCAGGACTTTCTTCTAAAACACCTCCTGGGTGAATTCAAACCTTCAACCTTTGTGTTAGCAGCCAAGGGCATTTATAACACCCAGGTACTCTGGAAAAGGTATTTTGTTGTTATATATGCCATCAAGTTGCCTCAGTTCACAACATACAAGTCTCCATGGGTGGTTGCGGCGCATGAGGTGTAATGGCTGGGAATTGAACCCAGGTCTCCAGCATGGAGGGCAAGAATTCTACCACTGAAACACCAAGCCACCCAGGAAAAGAGTCTGTGTTAATGTTGTTAAGTGCTGTTGAGTCAGTTCCAACTCATAGCAACCCTGAATAGGATTTCCAAGGAGCAGTTGGTGGGTTCGAACCACCAACCTTTTGGTCAGCAGTCCAGTGCACCATAAAAGGACCTAGGAAGAGCTAAACAGTAACTAGGCCCTATTGCTCTTCTCCTTACAGGAGGCCACCAGCAGGGGCATACCCACAAGATTGTAGGACACTCCAGTTGACAGATGGCAGAAGATGTTGCTTTCCAGGCCAAAGGATATACATAACCAACAAAAGGGTCTTTTGGTCTGCTGGTCCTCTTCCCTGTTCTCCTGTGCTGCTCACAGTGTCAGCATCAAGAAGAATAAGCAGCCCAGGTCATAACAAGGTTTCACAAAGCCAGTGCTGCTGGCATTTGGAGTGGGACAAATTTTCATTGTATGCAGGACAGCTTCATGCACTGAAAAGCATTTAGCATTTCTGGTTCCTGCTTGAAAATTGCCAGCTGTAGCCCCAGTCTCTGTGACAACCAAAATGTTCCCCACCCACATTTCCTAAGTACCCTTCCCCCTGGGGGCAAGGGTTACCCAGTTGAGAACTAGATATGCAAAGGAATCTGGAGATTCCCAGGATCCTCCACTCATTCATGTATAGCAACAACTATTATAATGAAACCTCATGTCCAGCCAGGAGGATGCTGGAGCTCCGCCAATGATGATGTCACAGACAGGGGCTTGCTTTCGATGGCCCAGATGACTCTTCTGCTTCTGTTCATAGTTAGTTGACATGTCAGGAGAAGGGGAAAAACACTCTTTAAAAGCAAGATGAGCACTAGAGCAGGAAAGTATCCTACCACTGTTCTCACACTCTCCCCCACCCATGCCCACAAACAGGACTTGAAATCTGAGCCTCTTGTATCTATTTGACCCCCTGAATGAATGAACACTGCCCCCAGCAGTCTCTGCCTTGCCTTGCTGGTTTAAGGGCCTTCATTGCCCTGTGCTGCCATAGCAACCGGGAAACAACCTCAGCTCACAATGAGAAAGGATGGTGCTCTGGCCCAATGCATAGATGCACATGTCCCGGTAACAGAGCAACCAGGACAGAGGGACAACAAGAGCTCAGATGAGGTGGCCCAGAGTGTAGACAACCCAAGGCTTGAGGAGTCTGGGCATATGGTTTATTTTTTCTCCCGACAAAGACACACACTGTCTAAATTGTGTGGCTGGTTGTTATTAAGAAGCAGCTGTAAAGGGGGAAAATGTATTTAATAAAAGGCCCAGTGTTTGTGGTCTTCTCAAGCTGGCTGCTGAGCTTAGGAAATCTTGAGGTGTGACCAGTTTTCAGCCTTCAAAACCAAGATGAACTGCCCTTGAAGAGGGGTGGTCAGAGGCGAAACATGTTCACGCTCTCTCTCCTCAGCCGGGGACATGGGAAGTTGGTCCAGAACAAACAGAAGTTAGAAGTCTATTTTGAACCAGAGGTGAGTCTTACATCTAAATAAAGGCACATTTTGGGGGTAAAGAAAGAGCGCTCCATTTTTCACTTGGGGGTGAACAATGTATCTAATGTGAGGTGAGTGGGATGTCACAAGTATACTTTCCTCCTTTTTCATGAAACTCCAGGAAACAACACAGTTTCTGGACACGTCAGAGTTACCATTGGGCCCTTTTCTTTCTCCTTCTGCACCTACTTACAGCCTCCCTTGAAGGAGATTCCAGATGGTCTGGAATTTGCATGGTTTGGTTCAAGACCAGAATTTCCTTGTGGGTTCTAAGCAAGCTGATGGTTGTTTGGTTTTAGAAGTCGTGCTCTGTGGTTGAAATGCTGTGTATGTTTGTGCCATTTCAATGGCTTCCTTAAACTGTATGGAATTCAATCCACAAGATGTATTTTATATAGGCCAAAAGACAAAAAAAAAAATCACATTTTATAAGATTTTTAAGAGGTGGCAAAATTTCCTGTTGTACTGGAATTGTATTTTATTGGATTTTGCCAGGGAAAATAAATCTGTTGAGACACTTTGAAAATTTTTCTGTCACACAGAGATTTCCATTGTCATGGTGGTTGTCATGATATTTGACCTCTGTTGTATGAAAAGACATATAAAGTTTCAAAGGACCTCTGTGGCCAATGGCATTTACTTACTTACAAGATATGTAACTACTTTACAGGCTCCTAAATAGCCAAATTAGGCAATGTATTATTAGCATCTGGAATGTATAGACATTCTCTCTGTACTGCTAAAGTGTCGGTGCGTTGGAATAGTTTTCTTCTATTTCAACTGCCAGCTAGTCCAGGTCTAATTTCAAAGTTATCTGTTGCCCTTGATAATTCTGACTACTTACTGGCATACCAAGAAACTTTAACTGGTCTGGAACCTACACTCTACTCCATTTAAGCCTCCAGGCGTGACTGGCTCTACTTAAAGTCACATGGAGTAAAATAGAACCAATTTTTCTACTAATTTTGAAATGTGAAGGGCAAAATCAGTTGCTAAGAAAAGTGATTGTGTTCTTTGACACTGTGTGGACAATGAAAAGGAAATAAGAACCTAAGTAAATGTCAAACACCCTATGCAAGCAGTATTTGCTATAAAAACCAGCTATTGTCAAATCTACTCTGACTCATGACAACCCCATGTATGCAGAATAGAACTTCTTGGGAGGGCTTCCATGACGTTGACTGTTTGGAAGCAGATCAGCAGGATTTTCTTCCAAGGTGTCTCTGGGTGAATTCAAACCACCAACATTTTGTTTAGTGTCTGTACCATCAGGGACTCCATTTGGCTATAAAAGCACTTCAAAGTGGATTGGTCAAGGTGATTCTTTTTCCCTGCAGGATTACTTGAACTGGAAGTCTCCAGAAGATTATGTCCTGGTCAGGAAATCCCAGAATGACAACAATGATGACCAGGCCTCCTGGAGTCTCTTTCTTCCTAAAACTTTCAGCACTAGAAAGGGTGCCCTGATTCTCTACTCAGAAGGTTTAGCCATATCAGCATGGACACCAGAAGAGAGAAGAAAAGGCACCTGTCACTCCAAAGGCTATAGGAAGAGGTTGGGTCTCAAACTGCGTACACTTCAAGACCTCAAAGAAGCCATCTTGGCATATGGAAGGAATGAGGTAGGCAGAGTCTTGGGTTTGGGAAGGCACTGGCCTACATGTCTGAAATCCAATTTCTCTCACCCTACAAAAGGTCTGAAACCCTCAGGCCTCCATTTCTTCATCTCTAAAATGAACTCTGTCTGCTTCACACAACTATTTTGAGGCTTATATGAGGTAATATATATGAAGAGGCTCTGAAAAACATAAAGGGCTATATTATCATCATTTTGTATCGTTTCACTTCCAATGGCACAGAATCCTTTTCAACATTCAGGCAGATCCAGACCAGCAGACGCTTCATCAGAAGCCTTGGAATCCTGTCTCTTAGCCAAAAGTATCATCACTGCACCTCTGATGCTCTTGGCTTTGTGGAAATGAGAGGGAGAACATTTTAAATATTTACCTTGAGTCTGCAGCATAAGTGAATGATGTTTTCCATTCTGAGTTTAATATTAAGGGAAAACCCATGTTCACTTTTCTGATTCACACTTTTTAATGTTCTGTGAGATGTGCACCTGGCCCATGCTTTCTAAAACTGCAGGCATCAGCCCTCTGACTGAGCCAAGGAGAGAGACTGGGGAGATGTGTCACTTGATGATGTTCAAGGTTATGGAGAGTGGGTTGGTTTCTCTCTAGTTTTAAAGTCTCTGCTGGCTTCTCATGCCCCATGAGATGAAGTCATGAGCTTCTCCAACCAGATCTTCTCATGCTGGCTTTCCCCTTCATTTCTAGTCACGTTTCCCATTTGTTCTTACCACCACCTCTCCCATGGACCCTCAAGGTCCCACTCATCTGAATTGTTCACCATTCTTCAAACACTGTGTGTCTTTTCATGACTCTGTGTTTTTGTACATATTTCTCCAGCTGGCAAACACATGCTTATCCTTGAAGACACAACTCAAATGTCGTGTCCCTTCTGAAGCCTCCTCCTTCTTCTCTAGGCAGAGATATCCCACTTGTTGCTTGTGTGAACATTCCCAAACCCTCACACGTTGCACTTTATCTCTTTGTTAATTTATTCCCTGATAGAATGGCATCTCCTTGAGGACAACAGGGACCATATCTAAATCATTTCTAGGAAATACTGAATACCTATAAGTGTTTGTGGAATGAAGGGCTCAATTATACACAATATTTAGATTATCTCCCAGTATCGTTATTGGGCAATTTATCACCTACCAGAACTTAAGCAGAGCTCCCAAACGGAAAATTCTTCTGCCTTCTTCCCATCTTTCAAAATACAGAGAGGCTTGAGGACATTGACTAAAGGTCCTTGTTCTTAAAATCATAAATTCAAGGTGAAAAGAAACCAATTGTTGGATGCTTACTATTATTTTATTGTTAAGTACTAGTGAGACCTTGTATAGGCTTCCCAAGGCTGTAAATATTTGTGGGGGCAGAAAACCTCGTCTTTCTCCTGTACTATTACTTTATAGACATCTTACATTTAATCCTCATAATAACCCTAGGAGACATGGTTACTCTGGGAAGTTATATGACTTGCCCAAGGCCTTAGAGGTGGTAAATGACAGAGCTAAGATGCAAGCCTAACCCTTTCTACCTACCTAGGCCTCCATGCTACGTAGTGTGTTCTATTTTTTCTGAATTCAGAGGTTATTATGTCAGGTGTTGGCTTGTTTTTCCTCATGTCCATTTTTCATCCTTTTCCTGCTCTGCTCTGAATCACAGAGGGGGTGACCCTAGGCTATAAGCCAAACATCTGTGCCAACTGGCTTCTGACTGCATTGGCCAATGGAAATAGTGGATGGAAATGAAAGAGGTGAGAAAAGAGAAAGCCAAAGTATCTCCTCCCCTGATGGCAAGAAGTGTCCACATTTCCTCTGTGGTCTAGCTTCCAAGAGACAGCCTACTGTGGCTCCAGGTGACCCCACCAGCTCCTCCCTTCTCCCTCGAGTCTAGGAGTGGTGCTGATGCTGCTAATCTCTGTGTTGCATCATCATCTGTTTGACTTTTTCACCTTCTCTTTGATCACCTATGTAAGCAGTTCCCTGAATTAAATTCTTCCTTCTTTTTAATACTTAGAGTGATTTATTTTTTTCTGGTTAGACACAGACTATTGAGACTAACTTACTGCCCAAAGTAAGAACTCCTTCCACAGCCTTCGGATTCTTATCTACATTACTTAAGTACTTCTGGAAACAGGTTTTCATTGTTTTATAAAGTAGATGAGTCTATTTTGGATAGCCTCATTTTTTGTTCGATCTGGACTCAGTGGTAAAGGTTCCTGCCTTCCTGTGATATTCATCTACTTTATAACTTCAGCCTTTGCACAAAGCAGAATACTACAGTCTAACTTGAAATAAGTAGAATGGAAATGGTATAAAGAAACTGGAAAAGAAGGGAAAGATTTGGAATACTAATGAAGCAGGAATTTTAAAAGATTAGAGAACACAGTAGATTAAAACAAGAGGAGAAGTAACTAAAAAATAATTTGGCATTAAAAAAAAAAAATTATCTCAGAAAAGTAGAGCATTGTCTGATTGTAGAAACTATATAGGCTGGCCAGAAACTTTAAAAATCATAATACCCAGTGCTGGGAGGGATATAACAAAATAAGCAGGCATACATTATTATTGTTAAGTACTGTTGAGTCGGTTCTGACTCAGAGTGACCCTGCCTAGGACTTCTGAAGAGCTCCTGGTGAGCTTGAACCACTGACCTTGTAGTTCAAACTGACCTTGTGGTCCACTGCTTATCCTACAGTGCCACACAGATCTGTATGCCATTTCTGGAGGCATTTTTGGAAAAGTATAAAAAGACATCATGCTCCCCTTTGATTCAACATTCCACTTTTAGGAATTTGCCCTAAAAAATAATCAGACATGTGCTTAAAGATTTATGGACAAGAACATTTATTACAGAGTTATTTATAAATATTCAAAGTGCTTAAAACAATAAAAGTCCAACCATGGAACACTGATAAAATTATAGTACAGGTATATAATGGGTTTTAGGGCACAGTCATAAATAACAGGAGAAAGTATTTATAGTGTATTTTTTAAGCAAGTAGTTAAAATAGTATTCATGTAATAACAATATCAATTTTTATGTAAATTTTCTAAGTATTTACTATATACCTCTGAATATTTTAAGTGCTCCCATGTGTAGGTCATCTATTCTAATAACTCTGTGAGTAGGAGTTCTGATTATCACATTTTAAAGGTGAAGAAACCAAAGCACAGAGTTGAGCAACTTACTCAAGGATATGTTGTTCTAAGAGCCATAGAGTTGGTTCCAACTCTTAGTGACCCTCTATAGGGTTTCTGAGGAGCAGCTGGTGGTTTGAACTGCCGACCATACAGTTAGCAGTCCAATGCTTATCCTACAGTTCCACACCAGGACCCCAAGGATATTATTGTTATTGTGAGGTACCATTGAGTTGGTACAAACTCATAGCAAACCTATGTACAACAGACCAGTCCTGGGCCAACCTTAATTGTGCCAACCTCACAATCTCTGCTACTTTGGAGCCTGTTGCTGCTGCCACTGTGCAATTCATCTAGTTGGGGTCTTCCTCTTTTTCTCCAACCCTCCACTTTACCAAACAGGATACCGTTCTCTAGGGAATGGTCCAATCCTGATAACATGTCCGAAGTATTAGAGATGAAGTCTGGTCATCCTGGCTTCCAAGGAGCACTCTAGCTGTATATCTTCCAACACAGATTTGTTTGTTCTTTTGGCAGTCCATGGTACTTTTAATATTCTTGTCCAACACCATAGCTCAAATGCACCAATTCTTCAAGGGTCTTCCTTATTCACTACCCAACTTTCATATGATATGAGATTATTGAAACTACCATGACTTGGGTCAGGCACACCTTAGTCCTCAAACTGACATCTTTGCTATTCAACGCTTTAAAAAGTTCTTGTACAGAAGATTTGCCTAACACAGTATATCATTTGATTTCTTGACTGTTGCTTCTATGAATGTTGATGGTTGATCCGAGTAAAATTAAGTCTTTAACAACTTCAATCTTTTCTCCATTTATATGGATGCTGTTTATTGGTCTAGTGGTGAGGGTTTTGTTTTCTTTACATTGAACCCATACCAATGGCTGTGGTCTTTGGTCTTTATCAGTAAATATTTTAAGTCCTCTTCACTTTCAGCAAGCAAGGTTGTATCATCTGCATATCACAGGTTGGTAATTAGTCTTCCACCAATTATTATGTCATGGTTTTCTTCATATAATCCAGCTTCTTAGATTATGTGCTCAGCATACATTTTAAATAAATATGGTGAAAGAATACAACACTGATGCACACTTTTCCTAATTTTAAACCATTCAGTGTTCCCTTGTTCTGTTTGAACAACTGCCTCTTTGTCTATGTGCAAGTTCCTCATGAGCACAATTAAGTGTGCCAGAATACTCATTCTTTGCAGTGTTGTCCATAGCTTGTCATGATCCATACAATCTAGAGTCTTTGAGTATTCAATAAACATAATCTATGCTCCTTATACAAAATAAACTATCAACACTCATGGAAGTAGCAGGCAAGAAATCAAACAATGTATTGCATTAGTCAAATCTGCTGTACAAGACCTTTTGAAAATGTTGAAGAACAAAGATGTCAGCTTGAGGACTAAGATGCACCTGACCCAAGCCATGGTATTTTCAATAACTTCATATGCATGCAAAAGCTGGACAGTGAAAAAGGAAGACAGTAGAAGAATTGATGCTTTGGAGTTATGGTGTTGGAGGAGAATATTGAAAGTACCATGGGCTGCCAAAAAAACAAACAGATCTGTGTTGGAAGAAGTGCAGCCAGAGTGCTCCTTGGAGGCCAAGATGGCCAAACTTCATCTCTCATATTTCGGACATATTGTCAGGAGGGACCAGTCGCTGGAGAAGGATATCATGTTTGGTAGGGTGGAGGGTCAGAGAAAAAGAAGACCCCCAGCGAGATGGATTGGCCAAGTGTCAGCATCCACAGGCTCAAGTGTGGCAACAATTGTGAGGTTGGCCCAGGATCGGGAAGTGTTTCATTCTGTTGTGCAT